TGACTTTGGGCCAATCATCAGGAGACTGTGAGTTCTAGTCCCGCCTTAGCCATGAAAGCCAGTTGGATGACTTTGGGCCAATCATCAGGAGACTGTGAGTTCTAGTCCCGCCTTAGCCATGAAAGCCAGTTGGGTGACTTTGGGCCAATCACCAGGAGACTGTGAGTTCTAGTCCCGCCTTAGCCATGAAAGCCAGTTGGGTGACTTTGGGCCAATCACCAGGAGACTGTGAGTTCTAGTCCCGCCTTAGCCATGAAAGCTAACTGGGTGACCTTGGGCCAGTCATTCTCTCTCAGCCCAACCCACCTCACAGAGTTGTCGTTGTGGGGAAAATGGGTTTGTTGGAATGCGTTCGCCATCTTGAGTTATGTGCGAAAACAATAAAGGCAACGATGCAAATAAATAATCATGGGAAAGGAGAGCCCGATGCGGAGAAAGATGGAAGGCAAAAAGAGAAGGGGACAGCCGAGGATGAGATGGTTAGATGGTGTCATTGATGCAATGGACATGAATTGGGGCAAATTCCAAGAGGCAGTGCAGGACGAGGGTGTGTGTGTGTGTGTGCTGTGGTCCATGAAGTTGCAAAGACTTGGACACGCGCCTGTGGAAATTCTCAGTCATCCAGGTCATCGTTGTCCCAAAGTGCTTTTTCAAAGGGTTTCCTGCCTGAGCAGGGGGTTGGACTAGATGACCTCCAAGGTCCCTTCCAACTTTATTATTAGTATTAGTATTATTATAAAGGCAACTGGACTTTGTTTTTTCAAAGGCAGCTGCCTTTTGAAAAAGCCCCTTTGGGAGAAGACTTAGACACGACTTAGCAACTGGACAACAAATAAATGAGTGAAATAAATAATAGCAGTGTCCATGTAAACAACTTTTCGATGCGGGGATAGCATTCACCTGCAAAAAAAAAAAGAGATATATAATTTATAGATGGCATTTAACACCGGTGAGATTAGCGAAAATGTTTAAAAACATGTCAAACAAGTGTTGGAAACCTAAACAAAAACCAGGTACTTATTATCATATCTGGTGGACGTGCCCTAAAGCCAGTGGTGGGATTCAGCCAGTTCACACCACTTCGGCAGAACCGGTAGCTAATTTTTTGTTGCCCAGGCCCAGAATCGATTTCTGGAAGCGGCATCCACACAGAGAACCGGTTGTTCACATATTTGAATCCCACCACTGCCTAAAGCTAAAAGATTTGGGTCAAAAATACACAATGACTAAAAAACATACAGATTTTTAAGCCAGAACTGTTTCGGTTAGGCATAATAGGAGGAAACTATGAGAAAGATTGCACATACTTAATTTTACATGTATTCACTGCAGCGAGAATTGTACTCGCCCAATATTGGAAAAAATGAAAACTTACCGACGGGAGAAGAACGAATGAAGAAAATTTTAGATTGTGCAGAAATGGACAGGTTGACATTAAAGATAAAAAGAGAAAGAAGACTCAGTGTCCTTTAGAACGTGGGACCATTTTTATCGATGGCTAGAAAAACGAGTTAGAGAGAAAGGAACGTGATGTGTATTATGTAACTTTGAATATATACTAGTAAGAAGACTATTGAGCGATTAACTAACATACTGATTATGATAATATGTAGGGGTGTGGATCTATACATATGTTGTACGTAGTATGTTTAGGTGTGTGTCATGTACGTGTTTCACTTTGAGAGCGGGCAACTAAATTTCATTTTTGATGTGTGCCGCTATGCCCACAGTAAAAAAAAATGACAATAAAGGTTATCTTATCTAATTATTACTCATTGTTTTTTAAATACATGAACTGTCTGTTGTACGACAAACGATTTATAATTCTTACAATAAAATTTTTTGGGATTGGGATTCGTATATTTTTAATAAAAAAATACTTAATTTCTATATATCCTACCCTTCCGAATTTGGAAAAAGAGAAAGGAACAGAGGGAAAAGAGGTCCCAATGCTGTCCGACGTCTTTGTAAGGCACCAAGTGATACTAGGTCTAGATCCCCAGGACTTCACCAGCGACACCTTAAAATCGCGGCACCAGCAAAGAAATAGCAACCAGCATCATCACGACTGGTCATTGACCTCTGAGCCTGGAGCGACTTCTCAAGCTTGCTTCCTTCCTCCAGAGCCAAACCGAGAAGTCACTAATTCCCCTAAGGTCTCGGGGTCAGAGGCCGGACTCTCGTTCAGCAAATCCCAAGTTAAGAAGGCAAATTCTAACAGCGCCTGGGCTCAGCTGACGGGCGGTAGTAACAAAGATCTTTCCCCTTGCACTGCAACCCCAGGGTCAAACACGCTCGGAGTAGCTTCCCAGGCTGGCAATCTGGTTGACTGCAGTGGATTTTTGAATCCGGAGGCCGGAGGGCAGGTAGACCCCCTGGATCAAACCAGCACCAGCTCGAAGAAAAAGTCCAGTAAGAAAGACTTAAGCCACCAGACCGTCCCAAATACGGACCTAGAATGGATGAAAAACGCTCCAAAGTCATTGGAAGCCCAGCCCAACAACCACGTGGACGGGAAGAAGGAATCCGGCGCGAACAAACTGCTGTCTCCCCGACAAAGCCCAAATTCTGCCAACCTTTCTGAAAACGATTCAAGCCATGTGCGGATTACTATCCCGATCAAAGGTCCCATAGGGGAACCCCCCGGTCACAAACGGAAGAAAAGACAGTCAACGAAAATGGCTCCTGAGAAGGCCATCTTGGAGAAATCTCCATTTTCTGGGCACCCCGTAAGCAGCGATGTCGTAGTCAGCCGGAGTAGCAGCCAAGCCGACTTGTCTAAGAAAGATCCCCGTATTACAAAGCTGGGGAAAAGTCCTGAGATCGAATCTCCGTCAGCGGTACCCAGTGAAAAAAATGAGATGACCAATAAATTGCCCTCAAGCAATGCGAACAGGCTTAGAAAGACCACAACCGTCACATCTGTTTCGGTGACAAATGATATCCCTGCCCTCAGCAAGCATTTGGAGATTCAGCACCCCAAATTTTCAGCCAAACGAAGGTGGACTTGTAGCAAATCTAAAAACGTGTTCCGGGAACCTTCTCTGGGTCCATCTGAGAAGCTGATGATAGAGCCTCCATCCGCTTATCCCATAACGCCGTCCAGTCCTCTCTATACCAACACAGACAGTCTGACTGTGATCACTCCCATCAAGAAGAAGAGGGGCCGACCCAAGAAACAGCCTTTGCTCACCGTCGAGACCATCCACGAGGGAACGTCCACCAGCCCAGTCAGCCCGATCAGTCGGGAATTCCCGGGTACAAAAAAAAGAAAGAGGAGGCGAAGCTTGGTCAATCTGGCTCCGATGCCTTCGGGAGAAGAAAACTCGTCCGGCGAGTTGAAATTTCACAAAAAGGTGGGCAAGCTCGGCGTGCTGGATAAGAAGACCATCAAGACGATCAACAAGATGAAAACCCTCAAGAGGAAGAATCTCTTGAGCCAGATCTTGTCGTGTTCCAGTAATATCTCTTTGAAAGCCAAAACCCAGCCGCCAGCCAGCTCGGGAGCTCCAACGATTGACGCGAGATTAGGAAAGCAAATCAACGTGAGCAAACGAGGGACGATCTACATAGGCAAGAAGAGGGGGAGGAAGCCGAGGTCGGAGGTCCAGTCTCCGCCGGAAGACCCGAAGACGGTTGTCAAACATTTGAGGCCTATCTCTAGCCAGCCTGATCACCCAGCCGTGCCTTTAACCTTGCAGTCCCTCGTGACGTCCTCACCAGCAACGGTTCACCCGCTCTCAATGCAGCTCGTGGGGTCTCACGGCAACCTTAGCCCCGCCAGCACCGAAACCAATTTTTCAGAGTTAAAGACGATGCCAAATCTACAACCCATCAGCGCGCTCCCCACCAAAATTCCGAAAGGAATCCACGGCGGGACTTGGAAGTTGTCCCCACCCAGGCTCATGGCCAACTCTCCTTCCCACCTTTGCGATATCGGTTCTCTGAAGGAAATCACCTTGTCTCCCCTGAGCGAGTCCCATAGCGAAGAAACCATACCGAGCGACAGCGGCATCGGCACGGACAATAATAGCACGGCGGATCAAGCCGAGAAGACGTCAGAATCTCGCCGAAGATACTCCTTCGATTTCTGTAGCCTGGACAACCCAGAAGCTGTCCAGTCGGACACCAGCAGTAAGAACAGGCACAGCCACAGGCCCAAGCATCTCATTGTGGAGAACTTTCTCTCCCACGAGTCCATGAAGAAGCCAAAGCACAAGAGGAAGCGGAAAAACTTACAGAACAGAGACGATCTCCAGTTCCTGGCTGACCTGGAGGAGCTCATCAGCAAGTTCCAAGTCTTCAGGATTTCTCACCGAAGCTATACCTTTTATCACGAGAATCCGTACCCCAGCATTTTCAGGATCAACTTTGATCCCTACTACCCTGTGCCATACATCCAGTACGACCCATTGCTGTATCTTCGCAGGACCTCCGACATGAAGTCTAAGAAAAAGCGTGGACGGCCTGCCAAAACCAATGACACCATGACGAAGGTGCCTTTCTTACAAGGGTTTGGTTACCCTATTCCCAGCGGGAGTTACTATGCACCCTATGGAATGCCTTACACATCAATGCCTATGATGAACCTTGGCTACTACAGTCAGTACCCGGCCCCGTTGTACTTGTCTCACACCCTTGGCACGGCGTCTCCTTTCATGAGGCCCACTGTGCCCCCTCCCCAGTTCCATCCAAGTTCACACATGAAGATGCCCAACACTGCCAAGCATAAAGCCAAGCACGGCGTTCACTTGCAGACGCCCGTAGGGATGGGCCTTGGAGACGTCCATTCCTCGCTGACCTCCACCAAGGTTTCGGGGTCCAGCTTATCCGGTGGGCGACTTCACAAAAGGAAACACAAACATAAGCACAAACACAAGGAGGAGCGGATATTGGGGGCTCACGAGGACCTCAGTAGCCTCTTTGCAAGCAAGACTCCCGGTTTCTCCAGCCATTCGGTGGGCGAGAGGCTAAACGTCTCCGAGAAAGACCTCTCCTTGTTGACGGAGAAAGTCAAACACAAGGACAAACAGAAGCACCAGCACTGTGAAGCTGGGCACAAAGGGTCCAAGAGTAGCTTTGAGGTGGACACCCTCTCTACATTGTCGCTCTCCGACACCCAACAGTGGGCCCCGGGCAAGGATAAGAACAACTCGAGCGGTGATGAGCCCTGCATGAAAAAGTACGCTGGGAACGCGGACAGCAATACGAGGACCGATGCGATGGATGTCTTTGGCGAGATGAATTCTGGGAGTGACAAGCGAGACGGGGACCCCAGCGGAGCGAAGAGAAGGAGCTTTGACGGATTTGGGACCTACCGGGAGAAGGACTTTCAGACGTTCAGAGCAAGTCGGAAGGACAGGAATGTCTACGATTCCCCAGCTGTTTCAGGTAAGAGAATTCCTCCAGCAATCGAGTATCTCTCCCATCCCATCTCTTTCTAGATACGCAGATGACTATTCCGTGCTGTTTAACTACATTTATATATAATCAATTGTCTAGAATCAAGCAGACATTATCCATCCTAAGTCTTCGCTGAGTACAGGATTCCATTGACCATTTTTGACAAGAGAACCCTACAAAGAGGGTTTGAAAAGCGTCTGGCAAAGGAGAGCTCTTATATCAAATGTCCACTGGCTTCAAGGTCATATTTGTTAGGAGATTATTACTGCTGTCTGATTGAATTTCTTTCCTTGTAGTTGTGACTTTGTTGGTTCTGATTCTGGGGGAAACAGAGAATAAGTCCACGTCTTTTCAATGCGGCCATTCTTCAGCTGTCCGAAGAATGCTATTACCTCTCAGTTGTCTTGTTTGTGCTAATGAATGTTGACCAGGAAGAATTTCATCCTGTGGTCTGGAATCCGTACTTCCCAAGGTAGCGTTTATAAGCACAGGTAGGGTCCGCAATTTACAACCACAATTTCTATTGCTAAGTGAGACGGTGGTTGAACGATCGTTTTAATTTGTTTTGACCCGTTGGACAAAAACGTTCTGGTGTGAATCGCTGCGGTTGTGAAGTTAGTAACGCAGTCGTTAAGCAAACCTGGCTTCCCTAATGACTTGGCTTGTTCGAAGGTCACAAAAGGGGGAACCACACAAACCCCCAGAACACTGCACCGGTCAGAAATATGAGTCAGTTGCCAGGCGTCTGAATTTTGACCACGTGGCCGGGGAGATACTGTAAAGCAGGGGTAGTCAACCTTGGCTCTTTTATGACTCGTGGACTTCAACTCCCAGAATTCCTGAGCCAGCATGGCTCAGCTTGGAAACCTCTCCCTTTCCCCTCAGCGTGCCTGGCTGAGGGATTCTGGGGGTTGAAGTCCACAAGTCATAAAAGAGCCAAGGTTGACTACCCCTGCTGTAAAGGCTGTAAGCAAAAAGTGGTTGTAAGTCCCTTTTTCAGTACCATCATGACTTCAAATGGTCATGTTGTAAGCCGAGGACTACCTGTATTGTATCTTTTTAGCAGAGGGATCAAGTTTCTGACTTAAGTTTAATCTGTGGTCATCAAGGACACCCAACACCTTGTCAACGACGATCAAGCCAAGTCTCTCTGGTCCTTCATCCTGAAATGCAGAACGTGATATTTCTCCTTGCTAAATTCCATTTTTTCCCCCAGTCCACTGCTCTAGCCTAGATCTCTTTAATTTTTCTCTCTTTCATCTAAAATCCTAGCCACCTGTTCTTGTTTCGTGTCACCCGAAGAGCTGATAAGGATCCCCTTAATTCCATCATCAAAATTGTGGATAAAACTGTTGAACCGCCCAAGGCCCAGGACGTAGTTTCATTTTGTGTCCCTTCACTCACTCCTTCCCTCCAAGCTGACGTGGTGTCATTAACCAGTACCCTTTGGATGTGGCCACTCAGCCAACTCATGAGTCCATCTAGCTCAGTGGTGGCGAACCTACTGTATGGCACGGGTGCCAGAGACGGCACTCGGAGCCCTCTCTGTGGGCACACCTGCCGTTGCCCCAGCCTTGCCTCCCCCCGCGACCCCCTCCTCACCAGCAGCCCCCCTGGAGGAGAGTCGCCCCATGTGGAGCAGCGCAGCCAAGGACATGGCAGCCAGGCAGCGTAGACAAGACTCTGCCCTCACGACCCATCGCGCACAGTTGATGCTGCGGGGTGCGGGCAGAGGGCATGGCCACCATGGCGCTGCTGGGCGATCTGCGGCGGGGCCTGGAGGTGGTGAGTGGCCCTGCGGGCGGGCAGGGCAGGGGGTAGAGCAGGGGCAGGACCGGTTTTTGGGCACTCGGTCTCTAAAAAGTTCACCATCACTAATCTAGCTAGTATCAGCCAGACCACAGCTTACTGTTTTGTGAGGAATATCCTGAGACACTGTGCCAAAGATTGTGGTGTTTATAAATGTCTGTAGAAGTTCTCCATCATCCAGGCCATGGTTGCCCCAGAGATGCTTTTTCCAGAAGGCAACTGGACTTTCTTGGTGGTTTCTCCCCCCCCCCTTTGAAAATGTTTTGCTTCTCATCCAAGAAGCTTCTTCAGTTCAGAACTAAATAACAGAGTTGGAAGGGATCTTGGAGGTCATCTAGTCCAACATCCTGCTCAAGCAGGAAACCCTATGCCATTTCAAATAAATTGTTGTCCAATCTCTTCTTCAAAACCTCCAGCGATGGAAGCACTCACGACGTCTGGAGGCAAAAGCTGTTCCACTGCTTAATTGTTCTCACTGTTGGGAAGTTTCTCCTTAGTTGGAAGTTGCTTCTCACCTTGATCAGTTTCCACCCGTTGCTTCTTGTCCTGCCTTCAGGCGCTTTGGAGAATAGCTTGACTCCCTCTTCTTTGGGGCAGCCCCTGAGATATTGGAAGGCTGCTATCATGTCCCCCCTCGTCCTTCTCTTCATTAAACTAGACAATTTACAATTTAATTAGACAAAAATGAAACATTGTCAAAAAGTGGGGGGGGGGGAACCAAGAAAGTCCAGTTGCCTTTTGGAAAAAGCATTTTGAGACGTGGTGTTCATAACATTCCCCTTACTTACTAAGCTGGTAACTCTTATCAAAGAAGATGAGGTTGGCTTGTCATGGTTTGATTGCCACAAATCCTAGGTTTGTTGCCTATTCAGATGTTCATAAAGATGCAGTTCGGTCATCTCTTCAAAGATGTTGCCCGGTATATAGATCAAGCTGAAAAGTCTGTAAATTTCCCAGGTCATCCTCTTCTTTTTTGAGGACGAGATGATAATTTGCTCTCCTCCAGTCTCCTAGGAGTTCTCAAAAATTGCCAAAAGAATCTTTGTGGTTGCATTCACCAGATACTTTAGTAACCTGGGATCTAGTCCTTGAATTCAGCTAAGGTAACTGAGTTCTCTCTCTTGTCCTCTCTTTGTCTACTTGGGTATGTCTAGTTTAACAAAGAGAAGGACGAGGGGGGATAGGATAGCAGTCTTCCAATATCTCAGGGGCTGCCCCAAAGAAGAGGGAGTCAAGCTATTCTCCAAAGCGCCTGAAGGCAGGACAAGAAGCAACGGATGGAAACTCATCAAGGAGAGAAGCAACCTAGAACTAAGGAGAAACTTCCTGACAGTGAGAACAATTAATCAGTGGAACATCCTGCCTCCACAAGTTGTGGGTGTAATGACTAGTTTAATGAAGAGAAGGACGAGGGGGGGACATGATTGTAGTGTTCCAATATCTCAGGGGCTGCCCCAAAGAAGAGGGAGTCAAGCTATTCTCCAAAGACATCCTGAATGTGAGGCGAGCGACTTCAACTCCCAGAATTCCTCAGTCGGCCATTTTGATGAAACTGCAGGATTGGATCCAGACTAGGGGTCTTCAAACCTGGCCCTTTTATGACTTGTGGACTTCAACTCCCAGAATTCCTCACTCAGCCATTTTGATGAAACTGCGGGCTTGGATCCAGACCAGGGGTCTTCAAACGTGCCTGGCTGAGGAATTCTGGGAGTTGAAGTCCACAAGTCATAAAAGGGCCAAGTTTGAAGGCCCCTGTTCTAGAACCCAGTCCTTCTTGGAGACACCTCTTGCATAACCATTCCTTGATTTCTGCTTTTCTTTCAATTGCCATGGAAGAATTGAGAAAATGACCTTTGCTTCCAGTTTCTTCACTTGCCTGACCGTGGCGTCATGGTCTCCAGAGGTTTATTTTTTTTCAAGGTCTCCCATGGCGAGGTCCTTCATCCCCATTTGGATCAAGAAGGAAAGATGGTTGTTACTGGCTTTGAATAATCCTGATCACCTCCCTATCATGTCCTGTACACGAACATCTGGAAGAGAGTACACGTCCCCCAGTGTCAGATCAGCTCTGGAGATACCTGCTTTGGTTTCCCTGGAGAAGACATCTCCCATCATCGTGCCTTCTTTCTCAAGGTCAATCTGGGATTTCTTCAATCCTCAGATTCCAAGTGTTTCTTCATTGTTTTAGGACATGATTTGTTCAGTCAACTGTTGAACATCCTATAGAGGAAGAATCTGGTAATTGGTTCCTCAATTCTACTGGAACCAACTTCTCCTTGATATTCTTGCTACTTTGAGACAGACCCTTCCACTTGTTTGCCAACAGGCCTTTTTAGCTGTTCTGTGCTGTTCTCTTCACTTCTTCTGCTTTTCCTGGAGAACTTCCATCTCTCCTGTCAAAGAACCTGTCACCTCTCCTGCTTCATTTCAGACAGAAAGAAGAACATTGATATACTTTGCAGGTCATGATGATGGTTCCCTTCCGGTTCATGTTCCTTGGAGACTTCCCTACCAACTCTTAAGCTTCATTAGTGTTGAGCAGGGCTCTTCAAACTGGGCAACTTGAAGACTTGTGGACTTCAACTTCCAGAATTCCTCAGCCAGCCAGGGAATTCTGGGAGTTGAAGTCCACAAGTCTTAAAGTTGCCAAGTTTGAAGACCCCCGGTGTTGAGCCTTAGTTGTGGTGTGTTTGATGGTTTATCTTGTTGATTAGTTAATGGTTAGGCCTAGAGGGCAAACTCATAAACTGAGTTAATTTGGGAACTGGGTGTTGTGTGAAAGTAGGCTTGATCCTTTTCTGTCTGGTTGATATCATTCTGCTGGTTCCAAGTCTGTATATCATCATCACTGTATTCAGTGGAAGCTGAATTAAATGGGATAAATAAAATAAGAATTTATACACACACACACACACACAAACACAAACACACATACATTATATATGCAAGGGATTACAAGGTCGTTAAAAGAAACAAAACTATAATGACTTTGTGCCAATGACATGAGTTAGATACTGATCCGAAGAATGTAACTGAACTAATTTCTGTGTTGTTATCATGACACATTTGCCACTGTGACTTGCGGTAGACACGTAGGAGTCAAGAGACATGTTTACTAATTGGTAGTAGTCAAGGAGTGCAGTCAAAAACTGGACAGGACCAGGAAAATAAAGAGAGAA